ATTATTTTGAAAATCTAAAAACAAATGTATAAAAAAAAAGTGACTGTGAAATGTATATAAAGTGATTCTTTTATATCAAAGAAAATTTTAACAAACAAACCCTAAAAGTCAATTCGCCAACATGTCCTTTTTCAATAAATCAATCAATTGGTTGAGGAAATATTTATACTTTAATATTCAAAAAGAAACTATTAATTAACGTATTATATATCTCTCTAAAAATGTAATATATAATCAGAAAATCAAATCAAACAACCAAAATATTAATAATATTTGAGTTATTAACTATACCTCTTCTTTTTTTTTTTTTTAACACATTTATTCTCAATTTACAAAAAGAAAATATTACTAATTATTTACTAATGATTTACTAATTATTTAAAAAAATATTACTTAACACTATTATCATAATTATAATTTTTTAAAAATTTAACTTTTAATTAACTAAAAAAATTGAATAAAAAATAAATTTTTGACTCTTTAAGGGGAAAAAGAATTTTGAAAAAAGAGTGAGACAAAAAGATAATAAAAAGAATATATATATATATATAAAAATCAATTTCACAGTAAAGAACGTTATTTTATTAGTTTGCGAAACAAGTTATCAAATTTCAAAATTATGTGAGTGGAATCAAATTAAGAATATAGTGAAGAAAAAGACTACTTGAAAATTAGTATTTAAACATGACATATTATGTGACAACGGAGGAGCGATTGTCGAGGTTGGAGAAGGCGGAGACAACAGAGCGATCAATCCCATAGACAACAAAGGTGTGGTCGTTGTAGCTTTTGCTTCAATAGAAAAGTTGTGGCTACTAAATATTTGGAAGATTTATAAGGTGAGGGGGTGACAAAGGTTGATAGATGCGACATAGGAGTGACTATCACAATTTTGACTTCAAGATTTGAAAGATTTGAGGGATGGGTATGGAGGAAGTAGTAGGTAGTGAAGAACGATTAGGTGAATAAGTACGACCGTCGTAAGTAGACATTATGGATCTGCTATAGAACTATAGGTGGTGCTCTAAGTATTTAGGCTTCTTGACTATAGAGATATAAGGTTTATAACTATAAAATATATTTGAATAAGAAATACATTATAAAATAACACGTAAGTAAATTTACTAATATAACAATACTTTTTAGATATTTTAAGTTGATGTGTCGATGTAATATTGAGTAACTCGACTTTTATATTATAAATACACTAATATTTATTTTGGTATCGTCCTAAATAGTAAAGGAAATCAATAATTGAAATGGGAATCGGTCGCTAATATTCACTTTGTTTTTCAAATCTTTGAAAAAACTTTCTTTTTTTAAATAGAAAAAGTCACGCGTCCTTTACAAGCAATACATCAATCTTTACAAGCAATAAATCTCTTCTCATATATATATATATATATATATATGAGAAGAGATTTATTTATTTTTAAAATATATTTAGTTAAACTTAAATTATATATAAATTTATTTCATATAATAATTTATGTTTATATAAATTTAAATAACTTAACTTTTAAAATTAAAATTCTTAATATATAAATCAAGTGTAACATACTTCTACTTTAAAATAAAACTGAATTCAATTAAAATTTGAATTTAATCCATTGATGGTAAAAGAGTTCACATGTATCTCATAACAAAATAATTTTAACAAGAAATAAAATATTAAAGCTCAACAAAATAAAACAATAATGCTCGATAGATTTACATCAAAACAAAAATTAAATAATGAATTAAATGAATCATTATATTTTATCCAGTCTTTTTATCTAATTTTAGTTAGAAATTTCCCCTTTTTTCTTTATTTCAATTCATCTCATTCTTTTCTCCACCTCACACGGTTGCAAGCTTATTTTGTACTGAGAATATTATCATATATCATTTCCTTAACAATTTGTTGGAGTATTTATTTTTCTCTTTATAAAAAGAAAGGAAAAGAAACAACGAGTACATGCCTATATTTGAAGCGGACTACGCAATTTTTATCTCTCTTATGTGCATATATATGACAAATCACATACGCATATCAGATATCAATACAAGTTCTATGTTTCAATACTGAATTCAGTATCAACAACTTTAATATCGTGGAAAGTTCTAGTTGCCAACTTAATTCTACCATTACCATTTTTACTGCAAAACTTTGTATTAGTTTTGCAAGTTAACACATGAAACATTGAAACCTGATTTAATCAGTAATTAGAAGTTACAAAATGTGAATGGAAACATGCACAAAGTAAGTAGATCCAATTTGCTCTCCAAGATATATGAATTGGACATAATTTTCATTGACACAATCATAGGTGGATCCAAGACTCTAAGTTAGTAGAAACAATTTTTTTTAAAAAAATTAAAAATTAATAATCATCATTACATATATAAAGAATAAAATATAAATATTAAAAATAATTATCACTAAATTTAATATATAAAATTAAGGATTTAAAGTATAATATTTTTAAATATATACTAATAATTTAATTAAAGCGAGATATATCTATATATCCTCGTTATAATGTAAGTTCACCATTATTCGTAATGTAAGGTTACAAACTTATATATTTGTTTATTTTTTGTAAGGAGGGTAAGGACTCACCAAGAATTTTGAGAGTACATTTGTAATTATTACAAATCTCATTCGTTTTGTTTACGTAAATAAAATGAACAACTCGAGGAGAAGAAGTCCACATTGCATCTTCTTTTTCTTCCTTTTACATTGATTTATGTTTGGTTATAAGGACTTGCTTTTCAAGTCTTTGTAAAAGAAAGAAGTCACATCATTTAGCGTATGTTTGGGTTGAGTGTTTAAGATATTAATAAAAATAAACATTTTTATAAAAAAAGGTAAATCCAACAATGGAGAAGAAAGTATATTGTCCATACCACTCATCTGGAAATGAGAAGAAAGTATAAAATGGTGGAAGAAGAAGGAGAATTGGGTCTTAGTTTTCTTCTCCACTGTTGGATTTACCTTTTTTATAAAAATGTTTATTTTTATTAATATCTTAAACACTCAACCCAAACATACGCTAAATGATGTGACTTCTTTCTTTTACAAAGACTTGAAAAGCACGTCCTTATAACCAAACATAAATCAATGTAAAAGGAAGAAAAAGAAGATGCAATGTGGACTTCTTCTCCTCGAGTTGTTCATTTTATTTACGTAAACAAAACGAATGAGATTTGTAATAATTACAATTGTACTCTCAAAATTCTTGGTGAGTCCTTGACCCTCCTTACAAAAAATAAACAAATATATAAGTTTGTAACCTTACATTACGAATAATGGTGAACTTACATTATAACGAGGATATATAGATATATCTCTCATTTTAATTAAATTATTAGTGCATATTTAAAAATATTATATTTTATATCCTTAATTTTATTCTTTGATGATTATTAATTTTTATTTTTTTTAAAAAAATTGTTTCTACTAACTTAGAGTCTTAGATATGATTGTGTGAATAGAAATCATGTCCAATTCATACATCTTGGAGAGCAAATTGGATCTACTTACTTGTACATGTTTCCATTCATATTCTGTAACTTTTAATTGCCCATTAAATCAGGTTTCAATGTTTCATGTGTCAACTTGCACAACTAAACAAAGTTTTGCGGTAAAAATGGCAATGATAGAATCAAGTTGACAACTAGAATTTTCTACGATATTAAAGTTGTTGATACTGAATTCAGTATCTGAGACATAGAACTTGCATTGATATCTGATATACGTATGTGATTTGTAATATATATGCACATCAAAAAGATAAAAATTGCGTTGTCTACTTCAGATATAGATATGTGTTTTTTGTTTCTTTTCTTTTCTTTTTATAAAGAGGAAAATAAATACTCCAACAAATTGTTAAGAAAATGATATATGATAGATAATAATCATATTACAAAATAAGCTTGTAACCGTGTGAGGTGGAGAAAAGAACGAGATGAATTGAAATAAAAAAAAAAGGGAAAATTTCTAACTAAAATCAGATAAAAAGACTGGATAAAATATAATAATCATACATGAGGTGGTGACTATTGATTGAGTGAGAACACTTAATAAACTCAAAGTACTCAAGCATACATGTTTAGATGATGTGGTCCCAAACTAAAGGAACAACAATGATAAAGGAAAATAGTCCTCGTGAAGTGTAGCTTAGCTGAAATTCAAATTCTTTTTTAAAAATGTTAAGCTGCAGAGGATAGAATTTCTAATATCTTGATTTGGCCAATTTCTCAAGAAGCTGTTGGTTTCATAATAATATTTTATAGGCTTCATACAATGCAGTTTTTGAACCAGTTTGGCTGTTTGTATAATCGAAAGTAAGATTAGTTGTGATAAGCTCAAGCTGCTTCAAAAATTATATATAGGAAACCATATAAGCCCATTCAGAAGTAAAATAACTAAGAGCTTAACCAAAATTCAAATTATTACAGACAAATTCAAATGTTTTAAGCAGCACACCAGCAATAGGAAAAAGCAATCCTCTGCTTGTGAGAATCCATTTTTTTAAGTCTTCAGAGAAGAATAATACTAAATTGTTTTTCAAGTCCTTGGAAAGCAGTAAGGACATAAAGATGTTAATACAGAAGAGATTCTTTTTATCCCTCTGCATGTTTATCCTAAAACAAACCATTTTATGAATACCAAGTCGAAGCCATCGTCAAAAGTCAAAACAAATGAACCCATTAAAAAGATATTGCTCCTAAACATGCAGATCTGTGATTAGTAAGCACTCCAGGATAGAGAAGTGATAATCTACTTCAAAAATTATGATGTAGGAAACCATTTAAGCCCATTCATAAAAAAGTATAACTAAAACCTTAACTGCTTCCAATCACTATTTTAGTTCAAAAATAAATATATATCTTACCAAATTGATAAGAAAATATTGTAAATTTCTAGGAAAACACTGTTGCGACCAAAGGTGAATTCTGCAAGCCACTTTGCATAACACATTTTCGGAAAACACTAAATCTGCTGCAGAAACATGTTTTAGTGTTGCCATCGGATTCGGTTATGCATTCACATACCACACACCTAACCTAATACATCTATTAAGAATGATTACCTCATAAATAATTGTGTAAATTATTGTTACCTTTTAAATTTTGTTTTTTAAACACAACAAAATGATGAACTTTATTATTTACTAGAAAGCAATACTAGAATGCAGAATCCTTTTTGCACGCTCTTCTCAACCATCCTTAGACCAAACTTCTAATAGGTGCACCATGAAAGAGATACAGAACATGCCAATGAACCATATCTTACTGAAACTTTGTGGGCCTTGTTTGCTATCTTGTGGCCTTAACTGGAAGCTGCATTGCAGCATGGCCCAATTTTCCAGCCCATGTATGCTTCTCATCTTCAACTTTAGCACAAAACATTGCATTTTATCTTCTGTATGGTTCTATATCAACATCGTCATTGTCATTATCAGCTCTTCTAATAGGAAGTATTCCAATAAATATGGTTTATCTTGATCCTTAGGTTGTCATTAATGTTTGTGTAGTTAAATATACCAATATGTCAACCAATAATGCTTTAAAAACAAAGAGGACATATTCTGAATCCTAACTGTGATTTACTTACCAATGGATTTTTGTTACTTTAAAATAACATAAAAAATGGGTACGGTGATTATGGATTTAGTTTGAAAGGATTCAAGTGCTCTGCATTGGAATTTAAAAAAATCATGGGAAATAAAAGAAGGAAGTACAATAAATCCATTACTTTGATGGATTATTACATACATCAAGTATATGATAGATGTTATTTGAAGGATGAATTGATGCATTCATATGAGCAGATACAACAACAATAATAAAGGCCTTATTCTACTATGTATTCTTATGAGCAAAAGACTGGATATTGGATAAGATGTAATTAGTACACCATACTACAGACAAATCGGTTTTTGAAATAGTCGTGGCCTTTGACCACAGCTTTGATTTTTCAAGCATTAGCACCTGAAATACGAGAAGAAATTAATTGGGTAAAAGTTGAAGCCAACAGCATATGCAATTAAGAATATTGAAATCTACATTTTATTATATTGTTAAGTCTGAAGAGGAGAACTAGTATGTGGAAAATAATTCAAAAAATAAAAATAAACAACAAAAGACAATTAAAATTTGGCAGAATTAAAGTCAATTTTCATTTATCTTACCAGCAAGAAAGACCCTTCTTATTTTACTTAGTTCTCTAGTGACATCCACTATATTCATTCTTTCATTTGGTGATTCAACTGAACAAGCAAGTCCAACCTTAATGAGTGAAATTAAGCACTTTTCAACGGCTGAAGTAAGATTATGATTGTTTTCTTCTTCTATTGTTGCTTGTCCATGTGCTGGTACAAGTGATGGGTCCAAAATCTGTAAAAGATTATTTGGAAATGAATTTTTCACAAAGCTATACAAATTTTGACCCCCTTCAAAGATTTCATCTGTGGGTCTTCTTCCGGTAAGCATTTCCAACATAAGAACCCCAAAGCTATACATGTCACCATTCATAGACACTTCAGAACCAACTCCATACTCTAAAATATATAACAAAAATTGTCAATAAATGTAATTAGTAAATATCATGTTTTCATTGAAAGACAAGGCAATTCAAAGAAATACAGATTCGAGAGTTTAGATCATACCTGGAGGAGCATAGCCAACAGTCCCCTTTATTCCAATCGTGCTTGTTTGCTTATAAGTTGTACCACTGATGGTGGAGAGAAGTCTTGCTATGCCAAAATCACTCACATGAGCAATCATATCTTCATTAAGAAGGACATTGCTTGGCTTTAAATCACAATGAATGATCGATTGCTCACATTCATGATGAAGATAATGTAATGCAAAAGCAACATCAATCATGATGTTTAATCTTTGATCAAGGTTTAATGTTCTTGAGTGCTCTCCACTTAGTATCCTTGGATGCAACCATTGCTCTAAGCTTCCATTTCTCATGTACTCAAAAATTAGAGCTTTAAATTCTTGACCTTTGTAATCTGTGCTGGAACAACATGTCAAAATCTTAACCAAATTTCGATGTTTAATATTCTTGAGTGCATTGCATTCAACTATGAAACTCTTGTGAGCTCCTGTTTTCTGAAGATTTAGGACCTTAATGGCAACAACATTATTTTCTAACTCAAGAGTTCCTTTGTAGACAGAGCTAAAATTTCCAGACCCTATCAAGTTTGTAGTTGAGAACCCATTAGTTCCATTGTGTAGGCTTTGGTATGAAACTTTAGCCAGTTGGTCAATTCTTGGTGAATCCAAAGTTGATTTTTTACTCCTCTTCCTCATCCAGTAGATAGTTAGAATAACTGACAGTATGAGAAGAAAGACAACCGCACTAACTACCATTGCTATCAACATGAACTTGTGTTTTGAAAGTTTTTTAAGTTTGACAGGGCATGGTGGTAGATGCAGTTTAGAAATACCTCCACAGAGCTTAGTATTTCCAGTCACCACTAACCCACTTGCATTTTGAAAGACACCTCCATTTGGTACCTCACCAACCAACATGTTAAAAGATACATTGAAATATTCTAAGAAAGAAATGTTTTGCAGAACATTTGGAATTGAACCAGACAAGTGGTTTCGTGATAAGTCTAAATGTTGAAGACCTTTGAGTGAAGCCAAAGAGGATGATATGATTCCTTGTAAATAATTTCCTTGTAAATAGAGGTACTCTAACATCATGCATTCTCCAATAGTTCCAGGAATTTGACCAGACAGATGATTCTCAGACACATCCAACACAATGAGATTTTTTAGGCTGCCCACTTCTTCCGATATAGTATCATTCAATGAGTTTTGTGACAAATTCAACATGGTTGTTAAAGAGGAAAGACTAAAAACCTCTACGGGTATGGTTCCTCTAAGATTGTTGTGCGAAAGATCTAGATGTTGTAACTTTTGGCAGTTTCCAATACTTGGAGGAATTTTTCCTTCTAACATATTCCCCCCCATACCTAAATGAAACAATTGACTAAAGTTTCCTATGAAGGTCCCTATTTCTCCTGACAACTTGTTTGCATTTAAGTCTAACACTTGCATATTCTGAAACTTCCCAAAAGTTGTTGGGATAATCCCACTAATGTGGTTTTCTTCCATCGTCAAGAGAGTTAAGCCAATTAGATTTCCTAATGATGCAGGGATTTCTCCAAATATTTCATTAACTCCAAGATGTAGTAGACTAAGTTGCGCGGATAAATTGCCTAAGGAATTTGGCAAATGACCTCCAAAGTTATTGTAACCTATATCTAACCTATTCAACATACTACAATTTGTCAATGATTTTAAAAACTCCAAATCATTAGTTGAATTGTCTCCTAAATTGTTCCTGAACAAAGATAGATATTGAAGATCTTGTAGCCGCCCCAAAATTGGAACTTGACCAACAAAATGATTTTCACTAATACTAAGTACTAAAAGGTTAGATGCATTAGTGATGGAAGGTGGGATTGGACCTGAGATTTGATTGATCTCAATTGCGAGTAGTTGGAGATTGGGGAGGGTGTGGAACATGTTGGGGGGAAGAGATCCATTTAATTGATTTTGTGGAGCTGAGATTAGAGTAAGAGATGACATATTATAAAGACAAGAAGGAAATGCTCCCGTCAGTTTGTTGACACCTAATGCTAAAAATGTCAAGTTTTTGAGACGACATATTTCTTGTGGAATATTTCCCTCAAACTTGTTGTTAGACAACGAGAAATGAATTAGGGCTGAAAGATTCCCTACAAATGACGGAATTCGTCCCGTCAACTGGTTCATGTAAAGGCTCAACTCTGTAAGCTTCCGAAGTGAGCCAATTTGGATGGGTATTTTTCCGATCAGATTGTTCCCATATAATCGTAAGATTTTGAGATGAGTGCAACCTGTCAAGTTTGTAGGAATTTCTCCTATCAATGAGTTATTTGCAACAGAGAGGTTTTGTAGTTGAAACAAACGTCCCAATTCTTGGGGGATTTTTCCATAGAAGTTGTTGTCTCCGAGGTTGAAGCTTCTCATATAAGAGAGGTTGCCCACGTGGGGAGAAATAGTTCCCTTCAACTTGTATCCTTGCAAATTCAACTCTGTGACTCTTTGAAGCACGGGATTGCATGTGACTCCATGCCAGTTACAGAAGTGAGAAGAAGAATTCCAAGAGAGGAAAATTCCAGATGGGTCAGTGGATACAGACTCTTTGAATTTGAGAAGAGCTAAATGGTCAATCTCATTTCCTGATGCAAAAACAATCACATTTGAGCTAACCCATAGCAAGTTTAATGTAAGGAGAGAAAACAGATGAAGATATATAGACCAAAATGCAAGCAAGGGAGAAAAATTTTCCATTAAGGAATTGGATGAATGGATGCTTATGTGGTTGATGTATTTCTATTCTCAGATATAGCCTTATATAGAGTTTGGTAACCCCCTACGAACATGTTGTGTTAAAAAAATTTTTTTTAATAATTATTGTGGGCTACATATATTATTTGTAGTATTTATATTAGTTATTTATATTTAGTTGGACTCAATAAAAGTGATCTAATTTTAGTGAGCCTTTAGACTGCCAACAGAAAAAAATTGATATGAGCCCAAATAAGTTGAAACCATATTTGGCCCATTAGGGGTTAATGGGAACCCTAATAGGTTTAAAATCATAAAGATGGTCATGATCCCCAATATGCCAAATCAGAAACACACGTCTCTCTGTCTCGGCATCAGAAGAGTAACATCAAGTCTCATCAAGGAATCCAGTGATTTGGTTGAGGAAGATCATTGTACCAAAAGACTATTCCGCTGCAACCTTTTGATCAACGTCAATGGATACAGGTACGTATTATTAACAATAACTCTGTAATCTGAGACAACGCTTCTTAATATTGATAAATGGAAAATTTCTATTTGGCTTAAGAAATTTATCCCAACAAGTGGTATCAGAGTCGCCGTTGTTATTAGGTTATGGGGTTCTAAAGTGTATTGTTACAATTTTTTTTCTCTCTTCATTGATAATACGTGTATTTGAATGCGTTGGTCATTTTTTTTTGCTTCAATTTGGTTTAATTGATTATACGGATAAAGAGATCGATTAAAAATTGAATTTTTATTAAAGAGAATTTTTGTGAAATTGTATAATTTTCTGTGAATGTTATAAATTTGTATATGTAACAATTTTGCAATGATCCTGAAGACATTGTCAAATGTAGAAATTTTTTTGAATTTTTAATTTTCTCACCGGAAGTGAGTTAATTGTGCAAAAATGCAATAAAGGAATATTTTCTCACCAGAAGTGAGTTAATTGTGCAACAATGCAATAAAGAAACATTTTCTCACCAGAAGTGAGTTAATTGTGCAACAATGCAATAAAGAAATATTTTCTCACCAGAAGTGAGTTAATTGTGCAACAATGAAATAAAAGAATATTTTTCTCACCGGAAGTGGGAAAATAATATTATGTTTGATCCTTTGAGTACCACCAGAAGTGGGATTTTTTTTTTTTTTTTGTCAAAATCATTGTTGTTATATTAAATGATATTTGGGAAAATTATATAATTAATATATTGAATTCCACATTATCGATTTTTTTAATGGCATTCGCGTAAGAATTATTTTCTTGAAATTTGATTGATATTATGTTCAAATTTAAATTGATATTTTTTTTATATATCAAATTTGAGTGCGAATGTTGGCAGATTATAGACCCTCTTTATTAATTAATTTGTCTGGTAATTTTTAATTAAATAAATTGATGTAATATATTGCCAAAGCAATCCCTATTATAGAAATTAATTTGATTAAAAATTACAATAGATGTTAGTATGAGATTATTTATGCGATTTGTGTTCATCCCAAAGGAAGACACAATTTGGCCAAATAATAACATACCTGTGATGATAAATATGTGACAATTATAAAGTTACAATCATGTGAATAATAGTCGGTCCAAAGAAAGGCTATTATTTGACAGAATTAATTGTCAACATTTGATCGTTGCATTGAGAGTACCACTAACAAGTTGATTTGTATGTCCAAAGACAAAGAATTAATGTTGTGCTCGGTATCTTGTAATGGGTCTATTATGTAAATAATTTGCATGTTTTATTTATTCTATTTTATTGTGAGCATGTAATTAAATTAAATTTTTTTTATGTTCTATTACAATTGCTGTTGCTAGTGCTGTTAACTTATCTGCTCAAATTAATTGTATACCTATGCTTAATGGGACAAACTTTAAGGCCTGGAAGGAAGCAGTTAAGATGATTCTTGGCTGCATGGATCTTAATCTTGCACTTCGAGCTGAGAAACCCACTCCAAATCTGGAAAACCCGGATGAAGATAAGGTTGAAAAGTGGGAACGCTCAAACCGAATGTGTTTTGTCCCAATTCGACTAGAGTTAGGGCGTACAATACAAAAATACATCCAAAGCCACTATACCAAGTGGCTGAAACAAACAAAACATCAAAAGGAGTCAGCTCCACCTGCCAGCTACAGATACACCACCTATCCCTGCTCTGCTCCCATACAGAGTATGATCATTACAGTCCAACCACATGGAAACAACAAAAGGGTAAGCTAGCTGTTAAGTCTCAATTTTACCTCTTTTTGGATGAGACTTATTGAACAAATTCCACTCATCCTTTGAACCATTGCAATATAATTGTTCTCTTTTTGGTTCATTTTGTGTGCAGATATAACTAACCCAAATTCATCTAACAATACCTTAATCCACCTCATTTTTTGTGCAGGTATTGAGGAAGAGTGGAAAGTTGAAGACTCTTAGGATTGGAAACCTAAGAAGCTAAGGAGCAGAGAAGAGG